TTAAACCCCGAGGTCACACTTAAATGCTGACACTAATTTGCGCAATCTGAAAAGTTTTTAACGGTGCATTTATAAGTAATACAATACATACTTAATATATTTAAACAAAAGTTGAAGTACATACCAACGGACTTTTATTAAAATCTGTTGCAATCCAAATTAAATTATTGTGTCCTCCTTATGCTCTTATAAGAAATATTTTCTGTTGTTTTTTTTGTATGATAAATTTTTTCGAAAACACAAATTTCTTTTGAGTGAGGTGCTTATTGCTCTCCTATCAATCAAAAAGAATACTCTTGGATTTCTCGCTTAGGAGACATCACTTTTTGCTCCTAAGCGAGTAATAACGGAGTACAAAACCGACAAATCTCGCTTATTGCTCCCAAATCATGCCTCAGGGAGCATTCTTTGATTGCTCGCTTAGGAGATCTCTTATTAAGCTCCTAAGCGAGTTCGGGAGGAATATGGGATGTTTTCTATGTGCACTCCCTTGTTGTCTTTTCGGGAGGTTTCTGGGAGGTAACTATGGGAGCACTCCCGTATTGCTCTATTAGGAGGTTTGTGGGATGATAATTCTGTGTGTGCTCCCCGATTGCTCGTTTAGGAGGTAAAAGGGATTACTCCCCCTCCTAGGACATCCAATGTTAAAGGGAGTATACAAAATGACAAGCTTATACACAGAAGCATAGGGAGCAATGGGGAGTATTCGTATACTCCCAAGGGAGTACTCACCGAGCAATCGTACGATGCTCCCAAGTTCTACTGGGCTTCTACGGCAAATGATAAAATACAATTAGCGCAACATACACAACTATCACATAGCATGTATCAGCTGCAGAAGAAATATGATAAGAATGAAAAGGAAGCCTCGCCGCAATCACAAGTCGAACGTGTTTCCGCATCGGCTGTTGCATTACATGCTCAACAACAATTGCCACAGGCGCTATTCCAATTGCAAATGAAGTATGACGAGGGTGCCGGGAAGGTACATCAACAGAATGAGCAACGCAAGCATGTTGATGGTAACCACCAACAGCACAATAGTCATCAGCAGGCGCCGGCACCACCCGCCAGTGAACAGCATTTGCATCATCCACAAATGGCACATGGCATTATGTTCCCATTGCCACAAATACGCAACGAGCAACCCACAGCACAACAACATCATACACATAACCTACATCAGCAACAGCCGCAACATAACCCACACCAACAGCAGACGCAACAACATCATCCGCTCACCATATTTGGCACATCGGCCGCCTCTAGTGCCATGAGTCGGATGAATGCTGAGCCGCCTATGGGAAGCGGCATGCGAGGGCCGCATGCCGGTAACGACGACGTCGACGACAATGGCGGCGCTCGCAGATGGGGAGACATGAAAGGGGAATGTTTACCGGACAAGTTCTACATGTACATATAATATCTACTAAACATACAATGCTAGTATACAATATTAAAAAAGAAAGAAAAAATATATATAATTAAAATAACTCGAAATCACTTATATAAATATGCATACATATAATACAATATAATTGTTAATATTTGTAAAAACTATGAATTAGTGTTAAACAAACAGACATAAAAATAAATAAGTTTTCCAATCGGTTTAATATACATTTATATATGTAGGTAATACATATGTACATACATGTGTATACATTTTGAATATACATATAAACCAAAACCGGCGGGCTTTCTAAATACACATATGTGTACCACTTACTGATAAAATTTTCTGTGGAGTTTCTTTCCTTCCAATTATATACATACTTACATATGTAAGTATGTAATACTAATTTCAAATATGACCCAAATCGGTCCATAAATACGAGTTTTCCAAAGAACCACCACACCACAACGGCCGACATACACACAAACATTGCAAGTTTCCGCAAACGTATATTTTTATACCCGAGCGCACTTGTGCACAAGGGTATATTAATTTTGTTCACATAACGGTTGTTTGTAAAAGCCAAAACGAATCGAGATAGATATAGACAAATGTATACATAAATGATCAGAATGAAAAGAGAAATCGATTAAGCCATCCATGTCTGTCTGTCCGCCCGTCTGTCCGTCTGTCCGTCTGCCCGTGTACACGATAACTCGAGCAAAAATTGAGATATCTAAACGAAATTTGGTATGTAGGTTTCCGTTAATCCAAGGTAGGTTGGTATTGAAAATGGGAAATCGGACTGTAACCACGCCTACTTCCCATATAACGGTAATTTCCAGAAATACGAAAACTGCGATATTTCAGGAACTACTGAAGATAATTCACTCAAAATGGATGTTTACGATAATTTGTAGACGAAAAATAAGAATATTATACATTTTTGGAAAATGGGCGTAGCCACGCCCACTTATGGTTACATGTGTATATCTCGGTAACCGCTGCACCAATTTCTTCCAAACTTAGCAAGGTTGTTGGCCTTGATACAGCATACTAAATGGCCGAAAATGTAAAAAATCGGACAATAACCACGCCCACGTCCCATATAACGGTAATTTTCGGAAATACGAAAACTGCGATATTTTAGTACCTACTGAAGTTTATTCACTCAAAATTGATAATTACAACAACTTTTAGACGAAAAATAAGAATATTATAAATTTTTGGAAAATGGGCGTAGCCACGCCCACTTATGGTTACATGTGTGTATCTTGGTAACCGGTGCACCAATTTCTTCCGAACTTGGCACAGTTGTTGACCTTGGTGCAGTATACTAAATGGCCGAAAATTTAAAAAAATCGGACAATAACCACCCCCACATCCCATATAATGGTAATTTAGAGAAATACAAAATCTTCGATAAATCAGTAAATATTAAAGCTAATTTATTCAATGTTGATGCTTGCAACAATTCTTTACCATGAAATACGTTTATGGTAAAATTTGGAAAATGGGCGTGGCACCGCCCACTTATAATCACATATTTGTATGTATATCGGTAACAGTTCTACCAATTTGTACCAAACTCGGTATTTTTATTGTGCTTGCCACATAAAAGCAAAATGTGAAAATTATTGAAATCGGACTAAAATTACGGCCGCTTTTCATATAACGCTAAATTTCAGAAATGCTTGAAACTGCGATATTTCGAAATTTAAAGACGCTAATTTACTCAAAATTGATACACCCCGGCTTACCATGTAACGATAGCCTTCGGAAAGGTGAAAAAACATTTATTTAATACTTGCGCCGGGTATTTAATGTTCGGCTCCGCCCGAACTTAGACTTTCTTACTTGTTTATTTAAATCCTTTCCTGTACATTAGAAAAATAGCTTCAACACAAATAAAGAGCCTTTCAAAATAATAAAGGAATCAGAGTTATAAAACAGCAGCTAAAAATAATAACAAACAAATATTTGAAAACAGGGAACCAAAATAACATTATGAAGTACTTCAAAAATTTAACTTGTCAAGGCCTGTATATGTTCGTAGAAGAAAATGGTGGATATCGTTCTCATCCTCATGACATCCTTTAAAAGGATCAAGGATGCTTTTTATATTTCTACTTTCTTTTGAAAAAAATCAGCTTCAACTATTAAATCTGACTTCTATTTTTTCAGTAAGACGATAACAGTTAAATCAAGCCAAATACTTTTTTGTCAAAAATAAAAGCCTTGGCATAGTAACGAACACCCCTTTACCCTAATAAGAAAATTTGGTATTAGTGGATTATAGATTTTATAAATATACATATGGCCAATTCTACAGGAAAGTAAAACAGCCCCTTTTTTTTTTCTTTCAAATATTGAACATATTAGTGATTATTGGTATTCACTATATCTGTCAGCTGCTTCTGACACTAATTCTTGTCATGTCCAAGCATTTTGTGTTTAATATTTTGCTCCTTTTGTCGATGGATTTTTCACGAACCTAAAAACAGTTTTCGATACTTCAACAAGGAAAAATACAAAAATTTCCTTGATATATTTTGGCCGATTAAGTTCTGAACGATAGAAAATAAATTAGTTTAGCAGGATACGTTCCAAGTTAGCGAAACAGTTTTTTGGACCTCCTTTTAAGTGGTAATGAAATGTACCGCAAATGTTAAGTGTAACGTTCCCAGTGAAAAACTAAAAAAGTTGTTTTTCGGATAATTAAGTACCTTCTCCAAACGAATAAATAACATGTTTTCTTAGTATTGCCGATATCATACTGATACCATATGGAAAAAAGGACTCATAGCTGACTTCGTTGCACAATTACCTAATAAATAAATGTAACGTGGCCAGTGCTTTTCTTTTTATTTAACATTTGTTATTGACTTGATAACTATCCTCATTTCAATCATATTTAAGAATGTATTTACATGAACAATTGCGAATTGAGCATTACACTGCTAAATTTTAATAACTACTCTATTGAAATAAATCGAAACTAACATTTGTAAAATATTATTTGAAATCTTTATCTCTTAAGATTGATTTTGACTATATATTTGCCTATAATTCAATTAGATTTTTTGGAGCATATACATCTGATAAGTTATCTGCCCATTATAGTGATTGTACTCATAATACTACAATTTTATAGATTCTGATACAAGTCTACACCAGACTATGAAGAGTTTATAATAATAATAATAATAGATTGGCGCTTACACATATGTTAGTGCTTGGCCGAGCTTCTCCTCCAAATTGTGACGTGCGCCTTGATGTTGTTACACAAAGGGGAGGGACCTACAGTTTTACGCCGGCTCCGAACGGCGATTGTATTTATATGAGAAGCTGTTTTTCATGGCAGAAATACACTCGGAGGTTTGCCATTGCCTGCCGAGGAGCGACTGCTGTTAAGAAAAAGCCTTTTTTCTATATTTTTGCGAAGTTGCTTTGACCAGGGATTGAATCCAGGCCCTGCGGAGTGTAAGCGCTCACTGCTTACCACTACACCACAGCGGCCACCAGAAGAGTTTATAAGTCTATTTATTTTGATTGGTTTTGTTTATCGGCCTTTAAATTGTAAACTGACGTAATTTTTATTTTATAAGCTTGAGGCCCAGATAATACATAAAATACGGGTTTTAGTTCTTTAATTTTTAATATCGATATTTCGACTTCAATCTGAGGTCATCTTCGTGAACTCTTAGTTGTCGGTCGACCGGGCACAACTAAGAGTTCCTGAAGATGACCTTTAGATTGAGGTCGAAATATCGATATTAAAAATTAAAGAACTAAAACCTGTGTTTTATGTATGCTATTTATTTTGTAAAAATTTGTTTATGTTACAACTTTTCTATAAAATTTAAAAACACTTCAAAGAAAAAATACCAATTTTTTCTTATATAAAATATTTTAAACAAAAAAGTAGTAATTAGTAATACAATTGAGTACTTTATTTAAATAAAACAGAAAATTACTTTTATTTTCTATATGTAACCCGTTATGTAAAAAATCAAAAACCATGGAGTTTTTATATTTTTATATGCCTTAGACTTCTGTTACATATACTTTTGCTTTATTCTTAACAGGGCACATTAGGTCAAAGGATTACTTTTTCTGTGCGAAATTAATAGCAGCTAAAATATTGCATTATTTTAATGTAAAAAGATGGCAAACGTTAAAACAAGTGTAAAGGCAGTAAATCAAATGTTAAACAAACTTGGCTTTCGTAAAACAGACTTTTCTGCTTTTTTGTATGTTCAAATGATGAGTATATGTGTTTAGGTAGTACTCAAAAACATTGTCCAATTAGCTTGGTTTTGACACAAGTTATTTTCTTACCATACTCAACCCCCTCCCCTTTAAAATGAGCTACATAATAAAATAAGTATGGTCACATGTACATAAATGGTTTCTTCTAGCGATTAGTTATGGCATTATCGAAATTCCTAAATTAAAAAAAGAAAAATATTTACATGTCTCGCAGATATATCTTGAGGAGATATTCCTAAAGCAGTTAGTCTTCATAAAACATTTCGTTTTCACTTGAGGTTTCAGTATTTCCAAATTCTCCACCGATATTATTTATATTCAGAATACAAATGCACATTTACCAAAAATTGCTGGTAACTTCCTGAAAAGAATACGAATGTTTATGAAACTAATTTGTTAAAAGAATGTTCAAAGCTCTATTCACTTTGAGTAAAAAAAAATCGAGATTTCAGTCCGTAAGTTCTCTCAAGGTTTTGCCTTTTTGCGAAGGCGCTAGTGTATTTGTAACATAGCCTCGGCTACGCTACAGGAGATGAAATGTAATCCAAATTGAGGCTGCTATTTTTGTTTGCTATCACATACTTCCATTTTTACTATTTATCACCATTAAAATGGATTATTTATCACCAAAAAATGTTGGAGATATTTTTGGAGATAGCTAAAAATTCGGAAAAAGGTTAGCTATCCTATTTTAGCACTTTAGCGATAGTGAAAGTTAGAATCCGGCTGATGGTCGACACAGCAAGAAACGCTATGTTTTTAGATCTAAATATTTTAGCATCCTTTCCAAATTGTTTCCCATAATTTTCATATTTATTTGATAAATAATTGTAAAAAATACGCGTTTTTTTTCTAAGAGTTTCATGGAACTTTCGC